TGGCTGGGTTATGGGAGAAACATGTATTTGTCAAGAACTGAAATGCAACATGGACCAACTTGGGGAAACAGAGCATGTGTATTCCTGTCCTCTGTTGGATGGAAGGAGAAGTGCTCAATGCTAACATATGGCATCTATCACCTCTTACTACAAGTCCATGGGTATATGAAGAAGCTTGGTATTGTATAAAGCCAGCTGGCATTTCCTAGCTGGCCATGGATTTACTACAACATAATTTACCGTCTCTAGGTTCTCTTATGAGAGAAGCCGGCCCTGGTCTGTAGCAAACCAGACCATAACTGCTAAGAACGTTATTACGGGGGCTGGGATATTTTAGCAAGACACATTTCTTTGAGGAAAAGCAGCAGGAGAGGACTGGGCCTGTGGGTTGCCCTCACTGGTTCTCAAACCTAAATTGCAACATCATCTTGCTCAGAACAGTTTTGAACACTCCCCACAGTGACTGCATTGACCAGGCTCTGTACAACACTGGGCTTGGCAGACCTGGTGCACTCCTGCTCCATCGGAGGTGCAGCGACACACAGGCATCTCATGGTCTCTCATTCTTTCCTCATCTATAACAATGTCTTTTTAACATGCGGTGACTTTTTGTAGTGCAGAGTGAGAAAGCGTGGCAGAAAGGCTACCCTGGCATCCACATCTGTCTTTCTTTACTGTCTGAGGTGAGGTTGCCCATGTTCATTGATCAAAACCAAGACCTATAAATACAGTGGGGTAGGCATTTTGCCCTCAAGCTTATGTAACAGAAGCAGAGAAATAATGTGGTTGTGGTGTTTGAGGATCTGAAGCAGTGTGGACACCTAAGCTGTCAGGGCCCCTCAGTACCAGGCACAGAGACTGGTGCATTATTGCCATTCCTGCATGAGTATTGTTCTGGGCTGTGAACCTTTTCTTCTGTGTCTGCTCCTGGAGCTAGGCTGACCGCAGAGAATGTCTGAGGGACCAAACCTAGACCCATTTGGATCTGTAGGAGCTTTGTAAAGATTTGAAAGGGAGAAGAAACAGGTCTGTCATAGGACCTGCTCCCAGGAAGCCATAGCATTGCCTGGGGCCCATGTTATCCTTCCCAGTCCGGTATCCCAGGATACCAGCCTTTTTTCTCTTTCTTTGCTATGCCTTCAAGTTATCTATCTGCTAATTAGGGAAGCAGTCCCCAGTGTCTGTCTATAGACTTAATGAGTTCTGGCTCTGCCTAGCTCACCGATACCATGGGTCCCCTCCCAGAAAGCTCAGTCAGCCTCTGGATGATACTTGTGAGTAACTTATCCGAATTTTAGCTAGTAATGTAGGATGAAGTTACCTAGAGCAAAAGGATATCAAGCCATTTCTGTTTGCTCTGGGATTTTCTTTTGATACTTCTCTGACTTGTACCTCCTCTCCATGCCTACCCCCTCCAAGCAATAACGCTGTCCATTATACCAAATCTTGCTGGATCTGCTTGGAGGGATTAGGTATGTTTTGTAGCCCCCACCCCCTCAGCTGTCTAAGGGAAGATACTGTTAATGCTTCAGGCTAAATGAAGGACCCCAGAATCTCATGGTGGGTTAAGCACCCTTGGAGTCTGCAAGGCCTGTGTTCCCCGGGAGGTTCAGAGCCTGGACAAAGACTAGCCCTGAGTGGTGGCAGCGGTTACCCGAGGCTTGTGGGTGTGCTCCAGGAAGGGGGTTAGCCAGAAGTTGGCAGCCCTGGAGAAGCATCCAAAGCTTGGTTTTGGTTGGGTGTAGTGAGGTGGGTGACTTGGTACAAGAGCACCCCTACTGCCCTGCCACACAGGCACGGGGTTTTCTACTCAGTTAGCCAGCTTGTTCTCCCAAGTATTACCCTGAAGCTTTCCAGCCCCTGACTTGGCTCCTGTGGCTGCTGGCTCATCTGAAGTCTTGCCTCTTTGGGCTATAAAAGTCAGAGTCTTAAAGGCACCTACTCCCCTCTCTTGCTTCTCATCTGTCTGGAGGTAACAGGGCTAGGGGTCCATGGAAGGTGGGTATATAGTGCATTGCTCTTCCACGCTGAAGCCTGCCCTGCAACATCTTTGTTGCTCTGGTTTTCCTCTTGCCTAGATGAAAGTTACCCTGGTCATGATTCTGTGGTTTGGTAGCGAAAGAATGATGTTTTAGCTATGATGGTTTTGAAATTTCAGCAAATGGAAAACAATTTGCACCTGTAGAACGGCTTGAGAATGGACTTGATTCTTCTTTTTGGCGGGTTTTGTCCAGCCATTACACCAGTTTTCAGCTAATGTAACTCTATTGCATCCAACTGAATGAAAGGCCTGAAAACTAGGGCCACGTGAAGCTTCGACAGCTGTTTCATTTTGACACTGTTTCGACTTGTTTTGAGTTCAAAACAGTGAAATCGAAATGAAACAAAGGGTTTCGAAACAGCCTCAAAATGACACGAGGGCAGTCAAAATGTTTCGAAGGTTTCGAAATGTTTCAAATTTCAAACAGTGGGGAGCACAACCCTTGCTCTCCCTACCTCCCACCACTGGCCTGTGCTCTGTGAGGCTGGCAGAGCCAATGGGAGTGCAGTGCCAGTTCTGCCCCCCTCCTGCCACTGGGCTGTGCTCCTATCGGCTTCACCAGCCCCATGGAGCTCAGCCCGGTGGCGGAAGCGCTGTGCCCTGCCTCCCACCACCAGACTGAGTTCCACAAGGCTGCAAGCTGCTGGGAACTGAGCCCGCTGGTGAGAAGCACCTCCTGCTGCTGGGCTCAGTTCCCAGCCAATTGTAATGCTGGGGAACTCAGCCGGGCTGGGGGAAGTGCCTCCTCCAGCCCAGCTGAGTTCCCCAGCACTGTGATGGGCTAGGAACTCAACTGGGTTGGAGGATGGGTTTCCTCTGGCCGGGCTGAGTTCCCCAGCACTGTGATGGGGTGGGAACTCAGCCCAGCTGGAGGAGACGCTTCCCCCAGCTAGGCTCAGTTCTTCAACGCAGGAGGCAGAAGCAGCATCCTGTGATCTGGCAGGCAGATCAGGCCCTTCCTACACCCCTGGGAGGTCTTCAGGGGCTCTGCTGGACTCCTCCCGGGGGTGCGGGCCCCCCCCCCCCCATTTGCCTGCCAGATCACAGGATGCTGCTCCTGCTCCTGCTCCTGCTCCTCGGCTCTGGCTTGTCAGCAGCCTGAGGTGCAGTTTCCTAGAAACCTCTGCACCTATCTCCTTGTAACTTGGCAAGATTCGTGATCTCAGATGGCGCTATGATCTCTGCAAATTTCATTGCAATTGGGCAAGGAATTACACAGTTCTAGCCTGTTTTGTGTTTCCCCATTATAGCCTAAGGGCGAAACGTTGAAACAGTGAAGTCATAGACTTTTTTCATAGACATCAGGGCTGGAAGGGACCTCGGAAGATCATCAAGTCCAGCCCCCTGCCCAAAGGGCAGGAAGTCAGCTGGGGTCATAGGATCCCAGCAAGATAAGCATCCAGTTTTGTCTTGAAGGTGTTCAATGTAGGCGCTTGAACCACCTCCAGTGGCAGGCTGTTCCAGACCTTGGGGCACTCTGGTGAACAAACGTTCCCCCAGATGCTGGTGGTCACCCCTGATAAACTTATAGGTGGCCATCAGATCACCCCTGAGCCTGCGCTTTTCCAGGCTAAAGAGCCCCCGGGCTCTCAGCCTGTCATCGTAGGGTCTGCTTCCCTGACCTCGGATCATGCGCGTGGCTCTTCTCTGGACTCTCTCAAGCTTCTCCACATCCTTTTTGAATTGTGGAGCCCAAAACGGGACGCAGTACTCCAGCTGCGGCCTCACTAAGGCCGAGTACAAGGGGAGAATGACATCCCAGGATTTGCTTGAGAAGCATCTAGGGATGCAAGCCAGCGTTTTGGTTGCTTTACTAGCCGCAGCATCACACTGCAGGCTCATGTTCATCTTGTGGTCAATGATGACCCCCAAGTCTCTTTCTTGCATCGTGTAGCACTGCCGAGCCTATAAGGATGCTGTGGGGTTTTCTTCCCAAGGTGGAGAACCTTGCATTTATCAGTGTTGAACACCATCAGATTCTCGTCCGCCCACTTGCTGAGCCTGTCCAGGTCAGCCTGGATCCCCTGCCTGTCTTCTGGTGTGGATGCTTTGCCCCAAAGTTTGGTGTCATCGGCGAACTTGGCCAGTCCGCTTCTGACTCCAGTGTCCACATCATTTGTTGTTTTTATAGATTATTTTCCACTTCTGCTTTGAACCCTGGGTGGCTCAATGACTTTTCACACACCCAGGATCAGAGACAGCTGCCCCGTGTAGAGCTACTGGAAATTGTCATCTACTTCCTCACTCAAAAGTAGGGTTTCATCAAAATTACGGGGTGTCTGTATGTATTGACATGGGTGCTTTCTTTTGTTATAACTGGTCATGCTTACAACTTTTGCTTTGGAAAAACTTGAAACAAACCAATGAGAGAGTCAATTTTGTGTGTGTGTGTGGGGGGGGGGAACTCTTTTGTGTGTCCTTCAAAAATCCTTCTGTCCTCCTGTTTAAGATTACAGGATGAATGGTGCCTGGAAGGATTCAAGTATTTATTTGATTCCTTGTCTTTTTGTAACTTTTAACTTGAATCTAGATTTAAGTGTATACAACTATCTGACGGTGTGTGATTTTAGCTTGCGCTCGCACATCTATGGTCCCAGGAATTTAGCCAGCAAGGGAACTGTAATAGCGAAAACTTAGCACCATGGGCTTCAGTGCTGGCTACGTGCCTCACTGGAGACCTTAGGCATATATTGTGTTACCAGCCCATGTTACAAACTGTGTTGCCACATCTTCCCTGCTTTGGAGCCCCATGCTTGGGAAATAAAAGCTACCTGGATGTGTTGACCTCTGCTCTGATCACACTTTCATTCTGCTGTATACATACAATCTGCCTATCAACCCTTGCAGAACAGTGGTTGGAAATATAAAATCCAGAAAGATAACATTTCCAGATAGCATGAGAATAAGTGAGAAGTGTGAGATTTCTTCCTGGAGGCTGTCTCTTGAAAGGAAGCAAGACTTAGAGTTTAATAGATGGTGTGAGGGCAGAAGGCATCTGGACTAACAGGAACAGAAACTGCAGAAGCCCAGGGAGGTTTTTGTGCTGGTCTGTAGCACTGTGAGACCCGCTGCTACCTTGCTGACAGTAATAATCTGCAGCATCTCCAGGTTCCACCCGGCTGATGGTGAAAGTGAAGTCAGTCCCAGACCCACTGCCACTGAACCGGTCGGGGATCCCTGAGGCGCGTCTGTTCGTGCCGTAGAGAAGGAGCTTAGGAGCCTGCCCTGGTTTCTGCTGGTAGAAGGCCATGCTGCTGCTAACACTGGAGCTGGTTTTGCACTTGATGGTGACTGTGTCTCCTGGGGACACAGCCAGGGACTCTGGAGTCTGAGTCACAACAATGTCGCCGCTGGAGCCTGCAATGGGTTAACAAAGTCAACATGAAAGAACATTAGAAAATTCAACAGAAGTAATATCAGCAAAGAAACATTACTTTACATTTTTTATTTTAGAAAAAGTAGTTGTAGTTTTGCTCTTAGATAGTCAATAGTATGAGGAATGATTTTGCCTTGAAGAAGTAAATCCACCCATCTATAAAATGCAGGAACCACCACCAAATTTTTGCTAGCAAATAAAATTTTGTATTAATATCCCTCCTGTGCCAGTTCTTACCCTGCATCCAGAGCACAAGGAGCCAGAGGAGCTGAGTCTGCCACAGCATCTTGCTGCTTCTGCACTGACTGACACGGAGCTGAGAGACACCAAGCATTAAACCAGCCCCTTTATAGCTGCTCCCCAGAGCAGGGCGCAGTCACCAGGACAGCTGTATGCAAAGCAGCAGCCTTAATGTCAATGTGGCTTCTCTGGGGCTCAGGGCAGAGACTCAGGGAAGGGGCTAGAGACAGCCTGGAGCTATGAGTAAGAAACCTATTCAATTGGCAGTGAGGATAGCACATACACATGGTGGCAGCCGTGCCATGCAACTGATTCTTCTGTCTCACAGCTGTAGCTGCACAGTGTTGTCACCCAGTTGCGTTCCACAGACCTACCTCTCCTGCGCTCTGGTGCCAACTTCAGCCACATGCTGTTTTACACCTGCTGGACATCCCCACTCTGCTGCACTGGGAACCATCTCTGTCTCCACTGTGCTGGCCCAGTAGAGATGAGTTTCTGGCCAGCGTCTTCAAACCTCTGGAGCAGTCTCTCACCACCCTTGTCTCATAGTGCCACTCCATAATCTCATCTCTGTCTGTGTCCTTAGGCTTTTCCGCCTTCTTGTCAGCTGCTCATGCATTCATTTTTGTGCCTTCAATCTCCCCCACCCCCCTGCGACATGCTCATAACATCTGCCCCCAGCTCTTCTGTATGACTGCTTCTATGCCTATGATGCGATTCTTCTGATTATGTCCCATCCTGATGCCAAAGGATCTTTCTTATCTCAATTAACATCATATTTTGCATCCTAGGATTATGCCATCAGTTTAGGATTCCTCTGGGGTAGAGAAGGTGATGGTCTAGAACAGAGGTGAGCAATTATTTTGGGCGGAGGACCATTTACCAAGTTTTGGCAAGCTGTTGAGGGCCGCATGGGTAGCCCCGCTCCTTGACAGGAGCCCTGACCCCTGTTTGCCATCTTGGGACTGGAAGTCCCGCCCCTTGCCCCTGGTAATACTCCTTTGGGAAAGCAAGTTTGCCAGAGCCCCCTGCCAGCCCATGTCCCGTGCTCCTACTGCCCTTCTCTGGGCCCTGCTGGTGCTGGGTCTGGGACACCAGCACAGGCCTTATGCTCTTGCTCCCTTCCACTCCCCCCGACCCCTGCCACCACTTTCCCGCCTGCCTACTGGCTCCTGGATGTGTGGCTGGGACAATCCCTGTGGTCCTCCCTGCCCCTCCCCCACTTCTTACCTGAACTTCCCATACTGGAGAACAGCCCCAAGGTCCCAGGCTGTTGCAGGAGCCTGCTGGGGCTTCCCCTGGGTCCTACTGCCCCTGGCTCTTGTCATCTTTGACAGGAACCAGGGACAGATAAATATTATTTTTCTAAATTTTTTAGGGTCCCTGAGGGCTGGATAGAATGGCTTGGCAGGCCGGATCTGGCTTGTGGGCCATATTTTTCCCACCCCAGTCTAGAAGGAGCCAGCTCAGTGTGAGGGGCACCAGGCAGGAGCAATACCAAGGATGTGTGAGTACAAGTCCTGTTAACAGCAGGTTTAGCTCTGGACATGAATGTAGTGACTAGTATTGCCTGTACATTAAAGTTGTATGGTGACTCACAAGTTAAAGCTTGATTCAACCAACACCATCAAGCCAGTCTGGGGCCAGTGTAACTTTGCTGAACTTACCAAAATGAAACCTCCTGCCACAATGGTAAATCAGCACCTCTGTATTTTTGTGTCTGCTTGTGCACACCCCTGATTCCTTGTCATTTTTATTTGACTTTTAAATGTTTGATCTCTTCCTTTAGCATGATAGATACTTCCCTGGAAGGCTTACAGCGTTTCTTCTCTTAACTTTTTCATTTTCTCCCCTTCTTTCTCTCTATAAGTTTTGCAGTGTCTCTATAAGACAATGTGGACCCCAGTATGATGGAGCTGTTGTCATCTGGCCAGGTGCCCCAGTGTCAGTGCTGATATAGCCAGCATGGATAACAAAAGCAGTGAAGACGTGGTGACTCTGCCCTCAGCACAGGCCATCTGTCCAAGTACAAGCCTGCCAGGGACCTAGGTGCCTTGTCAGTTGCTATTCCAGACTGGGCCCCATCTTTTGTGCTTTGCTTGATCTTCTGAGCTGGACAGAAGTAACTTTTGTTATGAGGACCAGTGCTATGGTGTCACCTCCATTTTGCGACATAGATATTTCCAAGCTGCAGGAAACCTGCTCAGTGACAGTAGGAAAAAGTGAAATGAACTCAATAACATTTCTGCATGAGGATAGTTTGAGAACTTGCCACTTAAGAAATGATAGAAGAGTGGCAGGAGTAACAGTAACACAGGAGTAGCAGGTCCTGTGGCTGTTGACTGGTGGCAGGTGCCGAACTGGCAGGATCTAAGGGGTGTGAGAGGAGTGTGGCATTTCTTCCACTGCCCCGGAGGGGACAGAAGTCTCACAGGAAACATGCCTGTGCAGTGGGGTGCTGGCGTAGCAGAGGAATGGAAACTGCACTAGCAGGGTAAAGCTTTTGCACCGGTCTGTATCAGTGTGCAATGGCACCTTGCAGACAGCAATAACCTCCACCACTGTCTGCTTGAATGCTTCCAAATCTGAATGTGATCATTTGGGGTGAATATAACCCATTTTCTGCCCCAGTGAGTATAGAGTCCTTACCTGGTTGTGCCTGAGGCATCCTCCTCTTACCTTGATGTCACGGATAGGTCATGCCATAAAACATCTTGGTCTCCTGGTGCTGTTCCTATGAGATCCATCTTGGTCACTGCCTGTGTCGTCAGCAGGTTAAAGGACTCTGGTTCTGGGAGTGACAGTGGGTGGTCTGCAGGGAGCCATTCTTTTTCCCTTGTCTTCCACGAACAAAACTATCATCCTCCTGTTAACCCAGTATATAATTTTCAGGACCTGATGCTGTGCATAGCCTGGAAACCCTTGGAACTCTGTATGAGGCCAAAGGGATGCAACATGCGGGTTGAATCTGTACCTTGCCCAGAGCATGCATAGTTAACACCTTGTAACCCATTTATATTAGTAAGTAATTTGATGGTACCTAGCTGAGCCCTCGCTGCCAAACTGAGCTCATGGCCATTCTTTCTGCGATACTGAGGTCTACGGGGAGAACACATGCTAACTGCTTCAGCACCAGCAGAAGACAACAGAGTATACGTACATTGATGACTTCACTGACCATGCAAACAGGGTATGACCTTGAATTTGGCTGCAGATTAGAAATGCATAAGTAGGGAAATGCAGCATCCTTAGGCCAGGAGTGGATCCAGGGGATGTGCTGATGAAATTGCACCTGCCCTTTGGGTCTTATTCTTAGTAGATTAGAGTGAGGACAGGAGCCCTGGGCACACAGCAGAGCAGGTACTAGAATGGAGGCAGGACACTTGGGGCTCTGGCCACATGGAGACGGGTCAGGCATCCCCTCATCAGCCCTCCACTTGCCCTCCCTGTGGGAGACACCTCCACTGTAAGGTGAGATTTCAAGAACTAAGTTACCCATTCCCTGGCTCTGCAGCCACTTCCAATTTCAGGGCTTTGGAGATTTGCTCACCACATAAAACTGGAAGTTGTAAGGCCAGGGGAGGGCTAACCTGCTTACTGGTGGTGACACCTCTCACAGTAGTGTCCTGCCCTTGTGCTTTGCACAGCTGGAGCTTTGAATCCCTCAGTCTCCATTGTGGCACTCAGGGCACAAGCCCTGTCAGGTATGAGTCTGCAGCCCAGGGTGCAAACTTTTCCACCCCACTTTGCCCACTAGATGTGTTGGTGTCTCAAGCTGGTGATCCACTGGGTTTCTGTCTGCAAAGGCCCTGCTTGGGGTCAAGACCCCTGAGATCTTACATTTTGCAGTGCAGGGAAGAGGAGAGCTGCTGTGGATGCCTTCTGCAGCAGTGGGAGGAAAACCATAAACCCTCTGCAATCTTACAGCACAAATTTGTGCTTGTTGAGTTAGCACAAATCCTATCACTGTGGACGGGGCCTAGGAGAACAGAAGTTGACCTTGGAAGAACTTCAAGGGAGGCAGGATACTGGGAGCCACTGGGAAGTAAGAGCAGAGATATTTCAGCTGTCAAGGGAGAACTGCCAATGCTGACTGTATTTCAGAGCATTTTTGTATAAGTTCCAGTCCTTGTGCTACATCTCGAGAGGTCTCTAGTAACCCTTAGGGAGATCTGGAGTGTGGGGTGTGAACTTAAGAGGTTGAGAGACTCCCGGCTGCTCTGTCCCCAGAGAGCAACTGGTTAAAGAAAAGAAAGTGAAGTCTGGGGAGTGCAGCGAGGTTTTTGTTCTGGTCTGCATCACTGTGGGAAAGGTAAGCTGCCCGTCTGCTGACAATAGTAATCTCCAGCATCATCTGCTTCAACCCGGCTGATTGTGAGAGTGTAGTTGCTGTCTGATTTACTGCTGCTGAACTGGTCTGGAATCCCCAAGACACGGGAGTTTGTGCCAGAGATAAGGAGTGTAGGAGGTTGCCCTTTTTTCTGTTGGTACCAGTGTATGTAGCTGCCACTAGATGTAATGGCTTTGCAGATGATGGTGATCGTTTCTCCTGGAGACACTGCCAGGGACTCTGGCATCTGCATCAGCAGTATGTCCCCACTGGAGCCTGCAGGAGGGAGGAGGGAGGCAATTAAATTAAACAGACCATCAGGCCATTTAGACAAAATATGATTTGCATATTAGAAAGTTATTGAGTTTCTCTTATTTTTCTTTTTGCATCTCCCCACGTGCAGAATGAAGGCAGTTGTCCTGATTGGAGATGCATTGCTTCCTTGGAGCTAAAATCCTGCTAGATGTATAATCGATTGGCTGTAGCCTTCAGCAGCAGACTTGGCAGGCAGGCAGCACTGCTTAAAGCACACTGCAGTACTTAACACTGCTTCAAAATGTTCTCCCTGGTGCTGTGGTGCTTACCCTGAATGCAGAGCACAAGAAGGCAGACCAGCTGAGTGTGTGAGATCATCCTGATGCTTCTTGACTGTGTGATGCAAACATGTGAAGCGGCTGGTTTATATTTGCTCAGGACGGCAGAAGAAGGGCCCTGGGCTGGAAACATGCAACCCAGTGACTGGTATAAATGTGCGCCGTCTGTCCACATAAAGGACCACCCCCTTGCCCACTTCTTGTTTTCACTTATTCCTGATCCAGCTTTCTGCACACCTCCAGGCTCTGTCTGGCTCCTGTTGCCACTTCCTCCTTCCTGGAGTTATACCCAGTGCCCTCAGTGCTCTGCTTCTCACCTTGTTTGAATTTGTTAGAAATACTGTCCCGGTGGAAGTGAAGCCAACCAGACACAGGCATTGCCTTGATCCAGATCCTGCATAGAGCTGGCGCATCCGCAGCTGGGCAGAGCCAGCATTGCCATTCATATACATCGCCATGAGTGTCTGGACCCAACTCTTGGGGCTGAAACAGAAGACACCAGAGGCCTGGGCTCAGCTGGGGCTGTTTCTGTGGACTCTACAGAGGGAATGGATGGAGGGGGAGAGCGATGAGTTTCAGCTGGTACAGGTGAGTCCCTGCACAGCCAGGGCCCATCGGCTTCTCTCACATTCAGTTTCTTGTTAGTGTCTAAGGTCCCTAGGAACTGTCTTTTCATGCTGTGACTGTCCAGTGCCCAGTGCAATGGGGCCTGGCTCTAATGCAATGTATACAACAGTGACAGCAAAGGACAGTAACAACAGCACAACTGATGTTGGAATTAAGGTGCCAGATCCACATAATAAATGTAAGGAAAAGCAGCAAGAAGAGTCTGTCCTTCCCCCACACCAGTAGGATGCAACTCCCAGAGCATATATAATATTGTATCATCCTTTCAGTGGGAATCTGCATGTGATTGTTAACAGCAGAGGAAACGGATGAGAACCATATCAGAAATCAGTGAGATCATGGTGGAAATTTGCAAGTGAAAGGCAGGAACGTGACTCTCCCCTGGCTCTGCTGTAACGGGGCAGTGGAGACCCTGGCCTGTGGCTGGGCAGGAAGCAGCTGGTGCCGGGAGCAGCAGGACTGAGCAGGGCAGGGAGGTTTTTGTACGGGGCTGTAGCACTGTGGGAGCCCTGCTGACAATAGTAATCTCCATCATCACCAACTTCTGCCCAACTGATGGTGAAAGTGTAGTCGGTGCCAGACCCACTGCCACAGAACCGGTCGGGGATCCCAGAGGGGCGGGAATTTGTGTTGTAGAGAAGGAGTTTTGTAGATTGTTCTGCTTTCTGCTAGTACCAGTGCAGAGAGCTACTGGAACTGGTTTTGCACTTGATGGTGACTGTGTCTCCTGGAGACACAGCCAGGGACTCTGGAGTCTGAGTCATTGAAACACTGCCTCTGGAGCCTGCATGGGGGAAACAATGACCATGAAAATAATGTTGGGAAATTCAAATGCAATTAGGATCAACAAGAAAAATCCTCTTCTGCCTCCACTCCCTCTGGCTTCCCATTTTTAACAATTTCTCCAATTTCCTTTTAACAGTCTCTTAAAGCTGGGCAGGGGTACCCCCCACATAGAATTCAGAGCTATTCCTTACTGCAGACATTTTTGTTACCCATTTTTTTGTTACCCATTTTTGTTACCCATAGCCACAGTCAGCGTGGGAAGCTAATGCCAGAGTCAGGACTGTTCATGTGCTATAGTCATCACTGTCTCAGTCTCAATATTATACCAGTAGTCTGAGCTACTCTCTCTCCTGCTGCTGTTCTTACCCTGAATCCAGAGCATAAGAAGCCAGAGAAGGTGCATTTGCCACATCATCTTGCTGCTTCTGCACTGATTGGCACAGAGCTGAGAGACACCAAATGTTTAACTGGCCCTTTTATAGCTGCTCCCTGGAGCAAGGTGCTGTCACTGGGGTGGCCGTATGCAAAGCAGAAGCTCTATATTCCTGTGTGCTCCCTGGGGCTCAGGGAAGAGCTGCAGGGCAGGGGATAGAGACAGCCTCATTTGTGAGTGCCTGGATGTTTTCAGTAGACTGCAGGATTGAAGCAACACCATGGCCTCTGTAACAGAGGTATATCAGGGCATCACCGAGCTCTTCCATTGCACGGTTTTGATTCCTCTGTCCTCTGTGTTGTGACCTGATTGTATTCCCCAGGCCTACAGTGCACTTACACCAGCGTTGGAGACAATTAGGCCCTATTAGTACATTGGCAGCACTTCTTGGTGCTGCCTTGCTGATCACCATGTTCATATGTGTTCCATACTCTAACCTCTCAGTGTGCTGAGGCCAGGTTTGCCAGCTGGCCATAAATTTATGGATAGTCCACAAAGAAAAAAGCTAAAAACACCTGTCTGCCAAGTCTGTAACAAAAAAGAGCCATCCATAAAAAAAAACCCAAACCTAAGCAACTGTGAGCTTGGGGAAAGCTCTATAACCTGAATAAGGCTGGATTTTGAAGGACAAGAAAGACCACTTGGTGTCTGAATAGGAGCACAGCACCCTTCAGGGAGCTCTTTCAGGGCATTGCGCAGCCCCACTTTCCAACCCTCAGATGTGTGCTGCTGCTGCTGCTGCTTTAACCAGTTGCTTACCTAGAAAACTGCTGGGTTGCAGGTAAGCAAGACTGTGAAGCTGCAGGAAGGGCAGAAAAAGGGCTGGTGTGGCTGGGCCAGCTTATGAGCCAGGAGTGAGGAGAGAAATTGGGTGAGGGTCAATGCACGGGCACAGGAAACTGAACCATTGGAGTTAAGGCTGGGGAATGGGATGCACAGCATGGTTTGGGTTACAGTTGGGAGTATCAGGGTGTGGAGGTGATTAGGGGACCCCTGCAGTGGGGGCAGCACTGTATAAGCCCTGTAGTGAACTAGGATTGTCAACCCAAAAACATTTTTTTTGTACTGACAATCTGCAAACTTTTCACTGATAACAAAACTTTTTTACTATGGTTGGTGTTCAACCCTTACAGCTGAACCTGGCCCAGGGCATGGCAGAAGGGTTATAATTACATTATATAAAAGCACATATCAGTAAAAAAAAATGGTAAAAGGTAAAAGGTTTGCTGATTGTCAGTAAAAAAATGTTCTTTGGTTGGCAACCCTAGCTGAGACAGGGGTTTCTATAGTAGGAACCTGGGAACCTTCTACCACCAAGAAAGGAGGACTCAGGGGCAGAAGGAGAAGCCATAGGAAGCAGCATGAATGAGGGCCTCCCCCATCTCAGACATGTGCTTTTCATGGGGAAATCCAGGACAACAACATAGGTACCATGGGGATTTGCCAGTTCCAGAGTTGGACAACTATGGAGTAGGGGATTTCTGGGTCACTGTGGTGGTCTGAGGGGCCCAGAGGCCATCACAGTCCTGATTTAGTGGCTAAGTGCTCCTTTGACTCTGGCCCTGAGGTGTTGGGTAAAGCACAAGGGTCCCAATCCCATTCCCCCTCTAAATCTTTCTTGCATCCAGTACAAGGAAGCCGTGTTTCTCCTCAGGAACTGGTTTAGGTGTATCTTAGAGGGGTGCAGCTCATGCTGAGGAGGGCATCTAAAAGATGGAGGAGGAGAAAGTTGGCTTTGCAGCCTTGAACCCCTGTACTCAGAGAGCTCTCCCAGCACATGGGAGACCCAGGGCCCATCATCAACCAGAGGAGATAAGAAAAGTATCTCCTCTTTCCCACCACAGGTTGCTGACACCAAACCAAGGGCAGGGCAGGCCCCAGAGGTTCCTTCATCCTCCCCTGACAGCTGGGCAGCCTGAAGGAAAGGGTCATGGAGCCAGAAGGACAGCAAGTCAGAGGGGATGGGACTTGTGTAGCTGCCTTTGGAGGGCAGGGACAGGATGGAGGGAAGGAGACCTCTGTGCTCCCAGTACTTAACAATGCTGAGATGAAAGGTAGAGGCATGGGAAAGCACATCAGTGAATCTTGCCTAGAGCCACTGGGAAGCTAGGTTGGTGGCTCCTCCATGGCACCAGCATGGGTGTGTGCCTTTCTGATGCCTGCCCATTCAGTGGCCAGTGCCAGACCATGGGGCATGCCCAGCCTTAGTGCACCAGCCTGCAGCCCCTCTACCACCTTCTCAGGAACTTCCTCTTGAGGTTCTGGCTGCACTTGTCTGATGTGGATCCCATTACAGAGCCCCACTGTGTCCTGGGACCTTCTGGTCAGCCTCTTTCTGGCTCTGGCCAAGCTCTCCATCTACCAGACCAGGAAGGAGGCAGTAGTCAGTGGGGGCGGGCAGTAGTCAGTGGGGGAACCTGCATGGTTGCAGGCCTGTCTTCCTCTCACTCTGCGCATGCTTCCAGGCAGAGTTGCACTGTGTGGTGCTCACAGGCTTCTTGGGTATGTGTGAGGTGCAGCAGTCATTGGCTGGTGTTCTGTGCTTGGTGTCCCCATCCCCATCCTGGGACCCTAATGTTTCACTTTTGACCTATGCTCTAGGTCTGTGCGAGTAGGCAGCTATTCAATATGGCTTCATATCTGGCCACCTCAGATGCCAGAAATCTGATCTGGAGCTCCGGACCGGGTTTCCTCTTTGATCCGGTCTAAGCAGCTCTGAAGCTTCAGAGCCACCTTGGAGATCCGGCCATAGGGTATAATGGGGAATCAATGAAATATCTATAACTTTGTTGTGTTTCATATGACTTAGATGAAACTTGCAGGAGTGGTAGCCTCTGCTGAGAACCTGGAGCCTACCAAGTTTCAAGAAGATCAGTGCAGGGGTTCAGGGGAAACTGCATTGCAAATTCTTGAAAGCAAAACTCATGTCACGTGTATGTGTTACACCACAGGGGGGTGAAAACCGCAGAGGTGGTAGCCCCTGCTCAGGCTGCAAAGCCTGCCAAGTTCCAAGAAGATTGGTACAGGGGTTTGGGGCAAACTGCACCTCAAGCTGCTGACAGGCAAAACTCGTGACATAGATGACCCTGTGTGTGTTAAGGTGCAGCAGGCTGAAAACTGCAGGGGTGGTGGCCCCTGCTTGGGCCACAAAACCTGCCAAGTTTCAGGGAGATAAGTGCAGGGGTTTGGGGGGAACTGCAGCTCAAGCTGCTGACAAGCAAAACTCGTGACTTGGGTGACACTGTGTGTGTTAAGACGTAGCAGGGTGAAAGCTGCAGGGATGGTGGCCCCTGCTGCGGCCACGAAGCCTGCCAGCTGTCAAGGAGATCGGTGTAGCGGGGATCTGGGGCCCTGCACCTCTAGCTGCTGACAGGCAAAACTCGTGACATGGGTGCTTGTGCAACTGACTGTCTCTGCCTTGGGGTGGCGGGAGGGCCCTACTGCAGGCCTGGCTGCTAAACTACTGTGTTACCAGTTACCAATCAATCATGATTCACTCAGGGACCAGCTCAATTCAGAGTAGCTAACTAATGTAGCCAGTTAATTAGCAACAATTAACACCTACAAAACCATAGACTAAGGAGAGGAAATAATACAGACAATCAACTGCCCCAAGACAGACACCTCTGCAGTTTTCACCCCCCTGTGGTGTAACACATACATGTGACATGAGTTTTGCTTTCAAGAATTTGGGGTGCAGTCCCCCCCGAACCCCTGCACTGATCTTCTTGAAACTTGGTAGACTTTATGTTCTCAGCAGAGGCTACCACTCCAAGATGAGATCCCCTCCCCCCTTCCCCAGTCAACAGGAAAGAGTTGGCCTCATTTTAGATTTGAGTACTGGTCTAGGGCACTAGGATTATAATTTGGGGCCAAAGTCAGATCTTAGCCACTGCCTGTCCCTGGGTAGTGCTGTTCAGGTAGAAGCATACCATAGAATCACAGAAAATTAGGGTTGGAAGGGACCTTGAGGGCGTCATCTAGTCCAACCCCTGCTCAAAGCAGGACCAGCCCCAACTAGGTCATCCCAAAGCTTTGACCAGCTGGGTCTTAAAAGCCTCCAAGGATGGAGAGTCCACCACCACTCTGCATAACCTGTTCCAGTGTCTTACTACCCTCCAAGAAAGTTTTTTTTTTTCTAATACCTAACCTAAACTTCCCTTGCTCCAACTTGAAACCATTCCTTCTTGTTCTGTCATCTGCCACCGCTGAGAACAGTCCAGCTCCATCCTCTTGGGAACCAGCCTACAGGTAGTTGAAGGCTGCTTTCAAATGCCCTTTCAGTCTTCTCTTCTCCAGACTAAATAATTCCAGTTCCATCAGCCTCTCCTCTAAAGTCATGCGCCCCAGCCCCCTCGCCATTATCATTGCCCTCTCTCCAATTTGTACACATCCCTTCTGTAGTGGGGGGTGCAAAACTGAACACAGTACTCCAGATGTGGCCTCAGCAGGGCTGAGTAGAGGGGGAAAAATCACTTCCCTTGATCTGCTGGCAACACTCCTACCAGTGCAGCTCAGGATGCTGTTAGCCTTCTTGCCAACAAGGGCACACTGTTGGCTCATATTCGGCTTCTTTCATGAGATTTTTTTTGGCCCAATCCTCCAATTTGTCTCTCTGAATCCTAGCCCTGCTCTCCAGCATATCTACTACTCCCCCCAGCTTGGTGTCATCTGCAAACTCACTGAGGGTGCACTCTGTGCCATCTTCCAGGTATTAGATAAAGATATTGAACAAAACTGGCCCCAGGACTGACCCCCTGGGGCACTCCACTTGATATTGGCTGCCAACAAGACATTGAGCCATTGATTACTACTTTGAGCCCAACATTTTTCGATCCACCATACAGTCCATTCATTGAACCTGTACTTCTTTAGCTTGCAAGAATATTGTGGGGCACAGTATCAAAAGCCTTGCTGAAGTCAAGGTACAATACATCCACTGGTCTCCCTGCATCCACAGAGCCAGTCGCCTTGTCGTAGAAAGCAATCAGGTTGGTCAAACATGACTTGCCCCTGGTGAATGCATGCTGACTGTTCCTAATTGCCTTCTTCTCCAAGTGCTTAGAAATGGATTCCTTGAGGACCTGCTCCATGATATTTCCAGGAACTGAGGAGAGGCTGACTAGTCTGCAGTTCCTTGCATCCTCCTTTTTCCCTTTCTTAAATATGGGCAGTATTATATTTGCCCTTTTCCAATCATCCAGGACCTCTCCCAGTCACCATGACATTTTGAAGACGATGCCCAGTACATCTTTAGTATATTGGCAAACTCCCTCAGCACCATCGGACTCATCCTGTCTGGCCCCAAGGACTTGTACATGTTCAGGTTTTCTAAACAGTCCCTAACCTATTATTTTGCCACTGGTGGCTGCTCCCCTCCTCCCCAAACTGTGCAGCCTGGTGTAGTAGTCTGGGAGCTGACCATAAAGACTGAGGTGAAAAAGGCATTGTGTCTTCCAGTCTTTTCTATATTTTCTGGCACAAGGTTGCCTCCCTCATTCAGTAAAGGACCCACATGTCTCCCTGATCTTCCTCTTGTTACTGACACACTTGTAGAAACCCTTCTTGTTCACCTTTACATCCCTTACTAGATGCAACTCCAATTGCACTGAGACCTTCCTGACTTCATCCCAGCAATACTCTTATACTCCTCCCTAGTTGTTTCCACAACTTATAAGCTTCCTTTTTGTGATTTAGTTCACTGAAGAGTTCCCTACTAAGCCAAGCTGGTTTTCTGCCATACTTGCTAGTCTTTCTGTACATGGGGATGGTTTGTAGGGGAGAGGACCAGGTAGTTGGGGAGGAGACTCGCAAGGGGAAAGGGATTGGGAGAACATGTTATGATGACCTATGGGGAAGGCCCATGGTGTGTGCCTTGGAGGGACTTCAGGTAAGACACCCTGCACAATGTCTGCGTGGATCTGGGAATTGAGCTGATAGAAGCCAATGTTAGTGTCCAGCCATTGGACAGGTCCATCTCCTCACCACGTGCAGGAGACTGCATGGGCTCACTGGAGCAGATAAGCCAAAGTGATTTGAAAAAAGGTGGATCCTGTTCTGGATCTCTGGATGTCAGATTCTGGTGCAGATCTGTGACTGAGAGGGAGAAGTGATGGGTGAAATGCATGCATTTGAGCAGCAGGTGGATCTGCTGTAACAGGTCATTAATCATTGGCTTGTGACTGTGCAGGAAGCAGCTTGTGCTGGGAGCAGCAAAACCTGAAAAGAGCAGGGAGGTTTTTGTACTGGGCTGTAGCACTGTGAGAGGGTAGCTCTGATGCTGCTGACAGTAATAATCTCCAGCATCACCAGCTTCCACCCGGCTGATGGTGAATGTAAAGTCGGTGCCAGACCCACTGCCACTGAACCGGTCGGGGATCCCGGAGGGGCGGCTGTTTGTGCTGTAGAGAAGGAGCTTAGGAGCCTGCCCTGGTTTCTGCTGGTACAAGGCCATGTAGCTGCTAACACTAGAGCTGGTTTTGCACTTGATGGTGACGGTGTCTCCTGGGGACACTGCCAGGGACTCTGGAGTCTGAGTCACAACAATGTCCCCGCTGGAGCCTGCACAGGGGAAACAGTTACCATGAAAAAAAAAAAAATCAGACACTTCAAATGCAGTGAGTATTAGCAAAGGGAAATTGTGCTCCCCTTCTTCTCTCTCTCTCTTTTTTAAATTTCTCCATTTTCCATTTAGAAGATAGTTACAGGGATCCAGGTGACCCCCAGCATGGCATTCAGAACCATTCTGTACTGGATAAATCTGTTATCCACTGGAAACATCCCCAGCCAGCCCAAAATATTAAAGCCACAATCATGACTGTCTGTGCTAAAGCCATCATTATCTAAATTGCACATTCTAATTGTAGGCATCTGAGCTGTTCTCTGTCCAGCTGCTGTTTTTACCCTGAATCCAGAGTACGATGAACCAGAGGAGCTGCACCTGCCACATCATCTTGCTACTTCTGCACTAGCTGACATAGAGCTGAAAGACATTAAGCATTCATCTGGTCCTTTTATAGCTGCTCCCCAGAGCAGGGCGCTGTTACAATGCAAGTCGTATGCAAACCAGGGTCTCTACATCACTGTGTAGCCCAGGGCACTGTGGGCCCAGGGCAGAGACTGCAGGGCAAGAGCTAGAGACAACTCTGCTCTGTGTGTGTGGCACCATTTGCTGGCAGTGAGCAGTACTCACGCATCAGATCGGCGCTGGTCTCTTCTATTCTCGGGGGTTGATTTCTCTGCCACGTAGAGCAACCTTGTGGCCTCCAGTGCAGTCACTGCAGACTTGTGCTGTGGTCAGTGGGGCTCAGGTGTACATTGTCCTTAATCTGCCTTCTCCTACTACTACCAGTCCCCTGTGCCCTTGCCTGCTCCCCTGTCCGTCAGGCTGAGGACTCTGCTCAGCTCCAGGAGCTCCGGCTCCACGGGGCCCTTCTCCTTGTGCTTCTCTCCCACCTCTCTGACCAGCTGTTAGGTGCCCTGGTTGGTGGGCTCGTCTCCAAAAAGTCCTCCCCTGTGATGTTTCTCCATCACTGGGGGAAGTGGCCAAAAGATGACATATGCCAAGCTGTCACGGGAGGGCAGCAGAAGCCTGACAGTAGTAACCAGAACAAGAAGCGGTGGACAGAGTGAGGGAACATTGCAAATTGGACTGACAAGAGGTTTCTCTGCTGGCCTGTAGCATTATGTGAGGAGGAACTGTCTGGCACCTGGCGGTGATACCCAGCAGCATCCTCCTCTTCAACCCAGCTGGCCATGAATCTGAAATCCATGCCAGAGTCCATGGGTCCATGTGCATGTGATGTGGAGAGGGAGCTGAGGAGCTTGTCCTGATTTTTGCTGGGACCACGTGATCCAGCTCTCAGCGCTGGAAGTTGCTTTACTGGTGATGGGGAATGTGTGTCCAGGGGACTCCGATCAGTAATTTGGGGTCTGAGTTATCACAGTGTCCCCAGTGGAGGCTTGGAGGGGAGAAGAAATGCATGAGAGTATGGACATCAGATTATTTAATCATCATCAGGCTGGAGAAACTCACAAGCTGCTGTTGTCTGAGTCCAGCCTCTCGTCCCCACTTTGCAGACCCCTCTGAGGTCAGGAAAGGGAAGTGCTCAGCACTGAAACCCCGATCTCAAACATGATGGTCCCTAACCTCATCCTCCTGCTGCAGCCATAACTCTGTTCGTTATGCCACTGGTGCAAACAGGAAAAGCACCTGGCCCTGCTGTGCCTTGTCAGCTGAGCAAGTGGGCTGTGAGTATTGAGTATGCAGGAAGCAGCTGGTCCTGGGGGCAGCAGAACCTGTACAGATCAGGGAGGTTTTTGTATTGGGCCAAAGCACTGTGAGAGGCATTAGGTGGCCTTGCTGACAGTAATAAGCTCCAGCATCACCAGTTTCAACCTGGCTGATGGTGAAAGTGAAGTCAGTGCCAGACCCACTGCCAATGAACCGGTCGGGGATCCCAGAGGGGCGGTGGTTTGTGCCATAGAGAAGAAGCTTAGGAACCTGCCCTGGTCTTTGCTGGTACAAACCCATGTTGCTAATAACACTGGAGCTGGCTTTGCACTTGATGGTGACTGTGTCTCCTGGAGACACAGCTAGGGACTCTGGAGTCTGAGTCACAAGATTGTCACCACTGGAGCCTGTAGGGTGGAAAATGCTCAGTATGAACACAACAGCAGACACTTCAAATGCAATAAAGATTAGCAAAGGAAAATTCCTCCTGCGCTATTTTAAGTTCCTCCAAGCTTCTTTTATGGAAGCTGAGTAGCAACTAGGAATGGAAATACCCTGCAGAGAATAAAGAAGCATCCCGTCCTGAAGGAATCTCTGTTATCAAGTTTAAATTTCCAGCCAGCCTGGGCTGCTAAAGCTACAGTCAGGATTGTCCAAGTGCCAAGTCTTCCCTGTCTCAATCTCAGGAGGAAACTAACAGTCTGAGCTGCTCCCCCCCTGCTGCTGTCCTCACCCTGCACCCAGAGCATGAGGAGCCAGACGAGCTGAGTCTGCCACAGCATCTTGCTGCTTCTGCACCGACCGACACGGAGCTGAGAGACACCAAGCGTTAAACCGGCCCCTTTATAGCTTCCCCCCAGAGCTGGGCGCTGTCACTGGGTGGCTGTATGCAAACCTAACATCCTTATGCAAAGGTGCATTCCCTGGGGTCCATTAAACTGACAGCAAAGAAAGGACTCCACGTTCCTCTGATCTACTCAGAAGTTATTTTTTGCAGACTTGTTTACACACAGGGATCAAGACAGCGTGTGCTGCTTATTGGCTCTGACTCATCTGCCTGAGCAGTTCACTAGTGGTGAAACCCCATTGCCTTCCCAAGTCTTTTTCTGAATCTACTCCAGCATCAGTATCAGATATGTTTTGTGCATCTGCTGAGCAACCTGGCTTTGGCTCAGTGGTGACCACCTCAGTCTCTGGTCTGTGGTTCACCCCTCCATGTGCTCACATAGCAGTTTTCATGGACGTGACTTGGGAATGAAGTCTTGGCTTCCTTCAAGTCAATGACAAAGATCCCATGATCTCTAGTAGGGGCCAAGGTTTCAACTGGAGGGTATTGTGGCAGAAATGCCCCCGTCGGTGCCCCTCTCCAGAGATCTGTCTCAGCCAGCCCGAGAGGCTGCTGTTGAATCTCTCACAGCGGGGATCTCGCTCCTTGTCTGCAGACAAAAGCCTGGCGCCTGGGAGGCGATGCTCTGGTCACCTGGGCAGGGGGGGGAAAGACCCGGCCCTGCGCGCGGGCCCAGGTAGCCAGGGATGCTTTGCAGATTGGACGGTTTGTAGCCAGTATTGGCAGCTTCGATTGGACCGGCTGCTGAGGTCAGAGAGGTTTTAA